AGTTGAATTAATTGAATCTACATCACCTGATAATGTTTCCATATAAATTAGACTACTCCTCAGTTTGATTTTCTAGGGAACAATCTTGTTGATTATCTTTTTTATATAAAAATAAAAAGACTTGCAATTGCAGTCTATCTTATACTGATTTTAATTATTCGGGTTTTCATTTATACCATCAGATGATGCTATTATTTAAATATTATTACGATCGATATGACTTACTACATTGTGTTCTGTGATAAAGGACTTCTAAAGATTGAGGAGCAAAGTGCTATCTATGGGCAGCGGAAAGGGCAAAAATTACCATAATGATAAAACAAACAGTTATTTTAATTTCAATGACCATAAAAACTTAACAAATGATATACAATGCATAATCAACAGACCTTTTCGCAGAACAAATATACATCAAAGCAAAACCAACGACCACGTACGTAACAAACATATATAAATGCAAAACCAACGATCATCTTTGCAGTACAAACGTACATAAAAACACGACACACGAAAAAAAGTTAACAAACGTGCAGCGGTAAGCTCCCGACGGTCATGGATTTTTTTTTTTTTTTTTTTTTGGCGATTTCTTTTTTGTCGGCGCACAGAAACTCTTCGAACTTCTCAGGCACATTTCTAGGTTTAAAAAATTCATTAAATTTAATGGTATAAAAACTTTAACAAATCATTACTGAATCAGCAGTACCATATGCCAAAAAGCGGTAAATCTAGTAATCAGCTGTAAATGCGACAAATCACTGAAAAAAGGATACCGATGTTTTCTTCGAATCACGATTAAAAACAACAAACTGAGGTATATTTTTTTAATAAATGAAAACCCTCATTTACATGCCAGATAATTTGTATGCACAAAAATTCCCCCCACATTTTTTTTTCGTATAGAACTCTTTGCCACATCATGTTTATGTTCCCAGGCTCTACAACATGGACGTGGTTCTACCTCGGATCCCCCTTTAATTTTTTTTTGGGGGGGGGGGTGGTAATTTATCTTAAAAATTTCAAATGAAAGAAAAGAATGTACATAAAATGAAAAAAATATCTCATTCTCCTGAAGGCCATTTTTTTTTTTTTTTTTTGGTTACATAAATTGGTTTTCGCCAATTCTTTAAATAATACAAGAATCTATTATGATAACTTTACATTACAGTGACATATTATATGACAGGCACGTAGCAACATTTCCTAATTTTAAGAGTAAGGTCAAAAAAGGATTATGTAGTACATGTATATTAGGAAAGAAATTGGTACTGAAAGAAGTTGAACCTCCCCCCCCCACCCACACACACACACACACACACACACCCTCACACACACACACACACACACACACACACACACACTCACCCTCACACACGAAATAGGATTTTCGAGTTTGGGCTATTTCATTTTGATTTCCTATTTGTTTTTGCTTGTCAATTTTTATTAAATCTTTTTTCAGCTAGATTGATTTTTTTCTCTCTGCATGGTTACCCCCTCCTTTCAAAAACGATGCTACGTCAATGTATAACAATGAAATACTTTCATTTTGCAATGTTTTACCATAAGTACAATGTTAGATTTAGCTATATTTATGAAAAATTTGATAAAAATCTTTTTTGAAATCAAATCATTTTGATATTGTGAATTTAAATTTTCATTTTTTTTATTAACACCGCCAATTTTCACTGAAATACTAATTCCATCTACGACACCTTACGTCTCTCTGTATCGATGTCCGTTTTTGGTTTTCATATTTATAAAAGAGTACTACATTTACCGCTTTTTTGAAGGTGATACTGCTGATTCAGTAATAATTACGCAAAACTTGTTTAAGTTTTTACATATTATTGAATTAATTTAAAAAGAAAATGTGCCTGAGAAGTTTGAAGAGTTTCTGTGCGCCGACAAAAAACAAAATCAAAATAAAAAAAAAAAAAAAATCCGTGACCGTCGGGAGCCGGGAGTCTGGAAGACTAGATTTACCGCGTGCACGTTTGTTAACTTTTTTTCGTTTGTCGTGTTTTTATGTACGTTTGTACTGCAAAGATGATCGTTGGTTTAGCATTTATATATGTTTGTTACGTACGTGGTCGCTGATTTTGCTTTAATGTATATTTGTTCTGCGAAAAGGTCTGTTGATTATGCATTGTATATCATTTGTTAAGTTTTTATCGTCATTGAAATGAAAATAATTGTTTGTTTCTCATTATGGTAATTTTTGCCCTTTCCGCTGCCCATACCTTTTGTGTTCAGTAATTCAGAAGTGAAAAATGAAATAGATATATTACACAGTCAGTGTTCCCTGGTTTCTGCTGACAAAGCAGGTAGCAACATTTGTTAAGTTAACTTTGTAAGGCTCATTATTTAAACTGTATTGTAGTGTAAATGGAATATTCTACACGTGGTACATGTAATCCAACTTATACCCATACTTTCCTTTCTAAGGAGGAAATTTTTCTGAAACATGTCAATTTTGAATATTTTTAATATACCTAACAACAGGAATCAATTTGAATTACAAGGTCTCTATTGAATTCCAAAATTTCATAAAAATCTTTCCAAACAAAGAAACATAGCGGGCTACAGTAAATGTGTACCCAGCATCTTTCTTTACTCCTCACAGAATATTAACAGTAGTGGAGGAGAAACGTTAAGAGCACTGTTCAACAAAATATTCGAGAAATCAGATGTGGATCTTACATGTAAAACTTCCAAGAAACTTTTGAAAAATTTGAAATCACAAAATTTAACCAAAATCGAGAGCATTAAAACTTTTCAACTTTATATTCAACCATTCCTCGCGATAAATTAAAGTTTAGGCTCTTTGATATAATTGACGGCTGCTTGTACCATAAAAATGGAACTCATTCTGATTGTACACACAAGTACTCTGAAGCTGATATCAAAAAGATACTTGCAAGGTTTTTGGAGAACCAGGTTTTCCAACCGACCTATTTTTATATTCATATGAAGCAAAATTTACCAAAATCTTATAGGTGAAAAGAAGAAAACATATTTAGATATATTTAGGATGTATTGTCAATTAACAAATGAATGTCAAAAGATACGATATATAACCAGGTGAACTTGAAATAAAAGATACCACAGAGTCATCTGTTTCATATTTAGATATTTTACTTGAAACAGGCGTTAAATATGGTAGTCTAACAACCAAGCTTTATGACAAACGAGATGACAAACTTTTCATTCGTCAACTTCTTTTACTTTATACAGTTTCATCCGCTGCATATGGGTTTTACTAGTATATATCTCAGTTGATTCGATACATAGGAGCATGTTATATGTATGAACTTTTTTTAAATGAGGTCAGTTATTGTGTTGACATGCATACAAGTTGCTGAAACAAGAATATCAGCAGTCTCGTTTAAAATAATCATTTTAAAGTTCTATGGTCTATAAAATGACATTGTCGACGGATTTTTTTTATATGGCAAATGATCCCACCTCTGATGTTTTGAAGGTCCCTGTTTACTCTGCTTCTATTTTGTATTGTTTAATGGACTTTCGAGCTTGAATACTGTTTGTAATCAACTCCATATATTTCATAATGACAGGATCCTCTTTTTAAGGGGGAGGGGGTACCAACAATTATTTTATCTATAAAGAACATTAGATTTTGACTTATTTTTTGAAAAAAAATCACATATGCCAAAGGCTTTCATGCATCAATGTTTCACAACACATCTTGGTTTTAGAAGATAGTTAATTTTTTTTGTACACATTCTAAATAAAAAAGGATCACAAAATTTCACTCATGCAACCTTCCCCGAGTGGAAGTCATGATTTGATTGTTTTGTTTCTACACAAAGTAGTGAAGCTTTTGCCAATTAATCTTAACTGTACAAATTACCTTAAGAGATTTTTGAAAGTTCATACAAAATAAATATTTATTCTTGTATCATGTTGAATTTTCGCTTTCAGTTTTATATTTTATATTCAAATATTTATTCAGAACAATTTTGTATGCTGAACCAATTAATACGCTTTTAAAAGAGTGCTACATGTACATCCCACTTGGAATCGATGAGAAAACAATCAAATTTGCATTGGCGAAATGATGTTTCATTATTAAAGTTTATAACTTGGATAAACAAAGACGTCCAACATTTCTACATCCTTGTTTGTAAGCGAATGCAAGCAAAGAACAGTAACTCTTAATTCAACTCCTTGAAGTATACTACAAGGAGTTATATTTTCTTGTTTGAAACGGGAAATTCATTTATTTCTTGTCATGTAAAGTACTTACCTTGATATTTATATGTAGGAAACAACGCTAGACCTACATGTACACATCAACAACTACATATAATAACAATTGTAATTATATTGAAACAATGTAAAATTTAAAAAAAAAACCATTTCTTCTCCAGACAATTAATAACGAATATTAAGTGGTAAAGTGTGCTTACTAGGGATTTTTTTTAAACTTTATAGCACAATTATTGTACATAGCCTTGATTTTTCTTTTGTTTGTTTGTTTGTGTTCTTTTTTTTCAATGAAGGTAGAGGATGCTAATTTGGGTCTGCCTGTCCGTCCGCCTAGCTATCTTTCTGCAATACTTCTTTTCCGTGTGATTCCTCAAAAAGCCTTTGAGTTTTTAAAATAAAAAATAACCTCCTTTTATCTATTAAAAACCCCCTATAATCGATTTTAAGGTCAAAGGGGAAATTCTTGAAAGGTCTATATGCTCTTATTTTTTTTCCCTTAAGCGTTAGAAGGAGTGGGAGCAGGATCTCTGAATTATTAGCTTGTTTATGTTTTCGCTAATTATAAGGGATAAAAAATAACAAGTATGATTAAGGCTTTTCCCCAGTAAATCTATTCTTTAAAAAATTTCGTTTTAATGAATTCATGCATACACAGTTAAACTTCCAAATCCATGTATCATTTTTCATTTTAAGTGACATTCATTACATCTGTGACTTTGGCGCAAGTGGTTTTTTTTTATTATAACAACTGTTACATTTTTGCATGTGTGAAGTTCAAAATCGATATCCAAATAATTTCTGAACAGTAAATCTTAAGAATATATTACCATTTAAATTTACCATCGCAACAATTATGCTAGGCTCGGTGTTGCTCGTTTTATGTCTGCTTCGCATTGGTGATGTTGCGCTAGGCCACAACGACCTAAGAAATGTGGCATACGGAAAATCTGTAATTCTGAGTTCAAATTATCACAGTTCGGGGTATTCCGGATCCAAAGTCGTCAATGGTCTCCTTACCGATCTCTCCCATACCGCAGCCGAGAAAACCCCCTATCTCGTGATTGATCTGGGGAAGGACTACGTCATACATGAAATAGAGGTCTTCGCTAGAAAGTGTTGTGGTATGTATGCAAAGAAGAGATCATCATTTTATCTGATTACTTGAACACATTGAATAACTTTTCCAATTATCAATTTTATGCATTGATGGGTAAAGTAATTTATTGAACGGTGAAAGAGAAGGTTTATTAATTTCACTCAGTTTTAAAGTCATTGTTATTAAAAAAAAGAAATTAGAAAATATATAAAAACATCTAAATGTTCGCCATAACTTTCCTTTCATCTTTGGTACGCGATTATATATTTTTTCAGGATGATTCTTCGGTGCATGTTTTATGAATAATTAATACTACCTGCCACATATGTTATAACTTTAAAGAATATTATTCAAAAAGAGAAATTTTTCTTTTTGAATTTTGAATAGTGCACCAACTTCACGACTTTGACGTTAAAGTGGGCCAAAACACTCATACCATGCATCTTTGTGGTCATTATACGGGGTACGCCAAGCTCGGGGAGCGGATCGCTATGTGGTGCCCCGCCGACACAGTGGGACGATACGTCAAAATACAGATCACTTCCGGGGTGTCCAATGTTCTCACTCCAGCAGAAGTACTTGTATGGGGACATCTGTAATTAAAGTGCTATGAATTTTGTTTAAGAAATGTGTTTATATAAACGTTTCATCAAATTAACATGTGCGCGTATGTGTTTAAACGTTGTATTAAATTAACGTGAGTGTATACTGTATAGGAAATATTTAAAATAAAACTTCAATAAAAATGATTCTTAAATTTTTATGTCTGGACAAATAGAATGATAAACTAAAACATTTGATCTTGAAATGCTTTGTCTTATGCAGGAATTTTTTTTTATTTGCTTCTCCTGTGCCTATTTTTTACAAAGAAAAATCATAGGCCCTAATAATAAATGAATGCTAGTTTAAAAAAATAACTTTCATTGCATGTTTAAAAAATTCAAAAATCGTAATAAAATCTCGTTTTTAAAATTAGACTAGTACATATATATATGTACATGTATACTTCAACTATGAAAGAGCTGGAGATCGAAACATAAGTATAAATAACGGATTTTAAGCTAAAATTGACCTATATTGCGCTTCAAAGTATCGATATCATTTTTTAATTCATCTGCAATGAAAGTTCTTTATGACTTTTCTGATCACATTTTCCTTGTAGCCCGTCTCTCTGCCAGGAAACATTTGCAAATGCATGTTGACTTTTTCTCCAAAACCACTGGGGCATTTCAACCAAACTTGCTATGAAGCACGCTTGGGTGAAGAAGATTAAAGTTTGTTCGAATGAAGGACCACACCCTACATGAGGGGAAATAATTAAGGAATAGTTAAAATCTGATGGCTACTTTCTACAGGGTTGTTAAAATTCATGCAACACCAATTTCTATGCCAGTAGCTTGCCTTGCTTTAAAACAGGGAAAGGTAGAAGAAAGTCATCAAGAGCATGTCTGTAATGGGGTTCGGGCGATTGATGTAATGACTATTCTTATCAGATCTCCTAAGCATTTCTCATGGAGACTAGATGAATAGTAAGGGGACTACTCATTGATCCTGCAGGGCACATATTTGTGACCAGTTCTATATCTTTAGAGGCATAAAAACATAGGTTCGCCAGAAAGGGTACAAGATGTGTACAAAGGGTACAAAAACAAATTTATCTTAGAAGAGACTGGAGATATTGGATCTTCTTCGTCCTATAACTATAGTCCTGCTGGACACGTTATTACAGGTGACGTAAATATAGTTATTAATGAGGACCTTAGATCATTTATTTTAAAAGGTCCTAAATATAGCGAACCCCTGCCCTTCAACTGGCGGCGAAATTTCATAAATATTATGGATTCTGTTGAAAATTACGCCAGATGATGAGCCATATATGAAAAAGAAGATGTTGACACTTTGTCAGAATGGATTAAACGTACATGTATCAGATCCATGTAAAAAATCGTGTATCAGAAGATTGAGGGGCAAAAGGAAAACCATCTATCCTTCTGTGTTCAATAATCCAGAAGTGAAAAAAAGAATTATAGATAGATTACATGATCAGTACGTACTGGTCCCTGTCGACAAAGCAGCTAACAACAATGTTTTCGTTTGTGAGGCTCATTACATGAATTGTATTTTAGAAGAACTTGGATTTAATTCTACAAGTGGTAACCCTACTTTCACTCATACTTCCCTTTCTAAGGAAGAAATTCTTCAAAATCATATGTAAGTTTTGAATATTTTTAATATTCCAAAGAGCCGAAATGAATTTGAATTACCCTATATAAATTAGATTCCAAAACTTCATAAAAATCCTTACAAACAAAGATATATTGCGGGTTTCAGTAAATGCTCCACCAAGCCTCTTTCGTTACTCCTCACAAAGATATTGACAGTAGTGAATGAAAAACTTCAAGAGTACTGTGCAACAATATATTCAAGAAGTGGTGTGAATCAGATGTGGATACTCAAAAATTCCAAAGAACTTTTGGACGATTTGAAATCGTAAGATTTTACCAAAATCAACAGCTTAAAAACTTACGAATTTTCAACTTTATACACAACCATTCCCCACGATAAATTAAACTCCAGGCTTTTTGATATCATTGACAGCTGCTTTTTCAATACAAATGGAACTCGTAAATTTACTTACATGGTCATTGGTCATTTGTAAAATTATTTTGTTAAAACACATTCTGATTGACACAAGTACTTTGAAGTTGACATCAAAAAGACGCTCGAGTTTCTGATTGACAATACTTATGGGGTTTTGGAGGCCAGGTCTTCAAACAATCTATTGGAATTCCCATGGGTACCAATTGCGCTCCGTTATAAGCAGACCTATTTTTGTATTCTTATGAAGCAGAATTTGTGCAGAATCTTATGCGTGAAAAAAAGAAAACACTTGCTGTGGCCTTGAACTCGACATTTAGATATCTCGCATTGTCAATTAACAATGGTAATTTCCATTCCTATGTCTATACAATATATCCTGGTGAGCTTGAGACAAAAGATACCACAGAGTCTGACATATCTGTTTCATACTTGGATATTTTACTTGAAAAAGACATTAATGGTAATCTAATATTCAAGCTATATGATGTCTTTAACGTCCCTTACTTATGCAGCAATATACCTTTATCACCTACATACAGAGTGTATATATCTTAGTTGATTCGATATGCAAGAGCATGCTCTACGTACGAACAATTTCTAAAACGAGGTAAATTATTGACAAGCAAGTTGATGAATCAATAATATCAGCAGTCTCGTTTAAAGTACTCATTTCGTAAGTTCTATGGTCGATACAATGACCTTGTCAGCAAATACAATTTATCATTTGGTCAAATGCTGACTGACGTTTTTCATACTAATTGTTAGTCCATTATTTATACGCTTAATTGACAACAGATTATTTCCGTTATTTCCCGATCATGACAAGGAGCACACGGCGGTTGTGACCGGTCAGCAGGGGATGCTCACTCCTCCATGACACCTGATCCCACCTCTGATGTTTTGGAGGTCCGTGTATGTTCTGCTCCTATTTTGTATTGTTTTATGGACTTTGTTATTGAATACTGAGCGTTATCTCCATATCCTTCTCGTATGAATGGGTTAATATACTTGCATCAGAAACACTTTCACACTTTGCCGTAAGCTTTTATGCAGAAACATCAAATTTTCATAAAATCATCTTTTTTTGAGAAGAGAATTTATAATTTTTTCCTGCACAAATTCTAGGAAAAATCTGATCACCTTATTTGACCCATGCAACCCTTCCGAGAATGGGATTGATGATTTGATTCTCTTGTTTCTACACAAAGTGAAAGATCTTTTGCCTAAATTTAATCTTTACTGTACAAATTACTCTAAGAGATTTTTTAAAGATCACACAAAATAAACATTTATTCTTGTATCATGTTGAATTTTCGCTTTCATTTGTGTCTAAATTTTATATGCAAATATTTATTTTAAAAAAGAATTTACACTTTTTTACTGAACCCATTAATATTAAAAAACTTTAAATCGGATGCTACATTCCACTTGGAATCGATGAGACTCAATCAAATTTGCATAGGTGAAATGATGTTTTAATTTTTAAAAATTAATAATTTAGATAAAGAAAACCGACTTCTTACATCGATTATTATGTTCAGTTTGAATTTTTATTTCCATGTTTTAAGCGAATGCAAGCAAAGAAAAGAAACTCTTAATTCAACTCCTTCAACTATACAACAAGGAGTTATATTTTCTTGTTTGAAACGGGAAGTTTATTTATTTCTTGTCATTTAAAGTGCTTACCTTGATATGTATATCCAAGAAAAGCGTTAGAGCTACATGTACATTTATGTAATAAAACCTGTTCTCTCCAGACAGTTATTTAACGAATATTCAGTGATGGCATGTATTTGAGGATTTTTTTTTTATTATTTTGTAGATTTTTTTTTTTAAATATTTCAGACAATATACTGCAAGCTACTAATCACTAAATTTTCGCGACACCTTATTTTCGCGAGATAGTCATTGACTCTTGATAAGCGAGACAAAATTTTCACGAATTGTGGTTATTGCTCTATGTGATCCTAAGTAAGGAATATTATTATACGCGAGAAATAAAAATTCGCGTAATTACGTCATAATAAAGTTCTCGCGAATAAAAAGTGATTTACAGTACTTTTTTATATAATAAATGTTTCATGTTCGTTGGTACTACCACAATAATTGTACATAAACTTGAATTTTTTATGTATAATAGCCTATTTTTTCTTAATTCACTGATTTGTACATATCCATAATATGCCAAACATCGGACACAAAAATTACCCGTATTTAGAGCAAAGATAAGTGATTTTTTTCTTTACAGAACATTCTTTTATAAAAGAGAAAAAACACAATCAATGCTTTAGTAAAAATACTTTTCCATGGTAAGCTACATGTATCCAAAAGATTCTTAACAGACACTCTGAACCCTTATAAATATATTCTAAAAATTTTTTTAGATATTTTAATAAAATCACGACTCTTTCAAATATATGTGGATCATTTTTCATCTTAATATATATATTATATATATCTTTATATATATATATCTTTATAGATATATTACATGTACATTGTATTTTGATTAAAATCGACATCCAAAACATTTTTGAACAGTGAATCTTAAGAACATATTAACATTTCATTTTTCGATTGCAACAATTATGCCAGGTTTGGTGTTCCTCGTTTTATGTCTGCTATGCAGTGGCGATGTTGCGGTAAGCCACGATGAACTTAAAAATGTGGCGTACGGAAAATACGCATTTCAAAGTTCAGAATGCGGCGTTCCAGGATATTCAGGATCTAAGGCAGTCAATGGTCTCTTTACAGATCTCGCTCATTCTGGTGCCGAGAAAACACCCTTTCTTGTGATTGATCTGGGGAAAAACTATGTGATACAGGAAATAGAAGTCTTTGCTAGAAAGTGTTGCGGTATGTATTCAAAGCAGAAACAACATAATTATGATTACTTGTACATATTTATTAACTTTTTCCAATTAATACTATTCAATTCAATAAAAATGGAACTCGTGAATTTACTTGCAAAATGATTTTGTTAAAAAACATTCTGATTGCACACACAAGTACTTGAAATTAAAATCAAAAAGATGCTTGAAATTCTGATTAACAATATCTACGTCCCTTTTGGAGACCAGGTCTTCCAACAATCTTATTACTTTCAATTAATTGTAATATACCTTCATCGCCTGCATACGGAGTTTATACATCTCAGTTGATTCGATACGCAAGAGCTAGCGCTACGTATGAACAATTTTTCAAAATAGGTAAATTATTGACAAACAAGTCGATGAAACAAGAATTTAAGCAGTCTCGTTTAAAGTCAGCTAATACAATTTTTCCTTGAATCAAATGCTGACTATAAAACTGAATTGATCATGACAAGGGGCACACGGCGGGTGTGAAAGGTGGGCAGGGGATGCTCACCCCTGCATGGCACCTGATCCCACCTCATGTTTTTTGGAGGTCCCTAATACTCATCCTACAGAAATTGTTTTTTTAAACGTTATGGTTTTATATGTTAGGATTTGACCATGACATACATTTTACATTAATGCAAAAAATTTGAACAGTAAAGGAGTAAATTCTATTATAAAGGACATGGTAACATAACGGGGGAATTTTTTTCCTACTTTGAACATTTAATAATGGGACCTTTAATACCGTGATAATTTGTAAACAAAATCTTAAATAATGCTTGTTTTATACACTTCTCAACCCTCTACAGGCGCGCGAAAAACTGGCTTGATTTGAAATGTCTGAGGGATAGCAGAAAATTCTAACTCAGTTTATAGCGTTGGGAGGTATATAAAATATACAGGGGGATTTATTTAAAATGTGTCTAGAATTATGAAGGGAAAGGTTGATTATTTACCAATTTTGGAAAGCTAAAAAGAATTCTCCCAAACAGCGCGAAAAAATCTTACGCCGTAAATTACACATTTATTGCATTACGGGATCTGTAGCGTTATGGTCAAATCCCAAGATATAAAACCATAACGTTACAGTTCTGCGGCTACTAATACACATGTACTAGTGTATGTAATAGATTAATTTCATTGATATGCAAGCTTGTGCTCCATGTTTTCTGAAACAAAATGTGCTGTAATATCGATGAAAATTTACATTAAAGTAAGAAAATTCGCTTTTTTCTGACCTTCCTGTGACTTTTGTGTTTCTCATAACTTAGAACCAATACTCAATTTGTTGCAAAGGTGATCACAGGTTTTGATTGATAAACTGTTGCATCATTCTAAAAGACATCAAAATCCAGGGACCAAAAAGGAGTCTTAATCTTTCTTTGCCCTTTCACTCGATTTTCAGTCATTTTCGTTGCTAAAAAATTCATATACACATGTATACATTTTTCCATAATTTCCCTTTCACAATTGGTAATTGATTTTTGTTTCAGATAGAATCTTCAGTGTTTAAGAAATAATTATAGTACTTGCCTGATGCACTTTTCAGCCTTAATCAAAAGGAGAAATTTATTTTTGAAATTTTAGCGCTCCAACTTCACGACTTTGACGTTAAAGTGGGACAGGACACCCATACCATGCATCTTTGTGGTCATTAAACGAGGCGCTGGGAAAGGATTGCAATGTGGTGCACAGTCGACACAGTGGGGCGATACGTCAAAATACAGATCACTTCCGGGGTCTCAAATGTTCTCACTCCAGCAGAAGTACTTGTATGGGGACATCTGTAGTTAAGTGCTATGAGTTTTGTTTAAGAAATGTGTTTAAATAAACGTTTCATCAAATTAGCATGTGCGCGTATATGGGAAATATTTTAAAAATAAAACTTTGAAAACATTATTCTTCAATGTTATTCAGTGGTGTAAGAATATATGTAGTTGCGGGTAGAGATGGGTAACCTTCAATATTATGGAAAGAATGACAGTGACCATGTTTTGCCATGGGAAACTCGAAATATGTGTTTGATCAAAAACTTAGATAAGATGTGCACAATGGTACTTGATATGCAACAAAGAATCAGTGGTATAGCAGCGGTGGAGAAAAGATATGTTCTCTAAATAGTGATAGATGGACGTATAGACAGATGGACAATTTTTTGCAAGACAGTATGTTCAGGTGAGCGGTGTTGCTCACTTGTTTGTAAAAAATTTTCATCATGAACCAGTTTAATTTCTCTCCAATGAAAAAATTCCATTCAAAGTCTGATATCGTCTCTGAACATTACATTTAAACTTTAAACTTTAGTTGGAAGGTTGTACTTGAAAATTCGATCGCATTTAGATTTTTTTTTTTATTTTAAATATTGACTAGTTGGAAGGTTGTACTTGAGTATGATTGAACAGTTTCTAAAATTTCTGTTTGATTTTGAATTAAAAAGACACACACAAATAATACATTTCATTTTTATCTTTAACATACCACATAACAATGAAATAAACGGAAGAGCAGTAGAACTTGACCTAGCACTATAATATCATCGTGTATCATTTTAACACGGGTACTTTGTGTTGAAATCCATTCATCATTTTCTGGGAAACAGTCTCGCAAGATTATCATCCTTTGTCTGTTGAAAATAACACGCTGTCCCCGATCATCCAAAATGGTGTTCATTTAAAACCTTTCTTCGGCAATAGCTAATTTTGCAAAATGATCAAAGTATCGTTAATTGATGCGTATTTTAAAATCTTTTTTTATAATCACCAAAAATGTGCCTTAAAAGGAATGGCATCCATTTGAAATAAACTTTGAAAGAAACATAAATGAGAATTCAAGCAATGTACATCGTTACGGTGAGTAAATTTACGGGAGGAGCGTGGGTAGTGGAGTCCTAGAGGTATCTATGACCGATTCTGTCTGAGTTCCCTCCCTTTCCATGGCCGGAACTGTTACCGTAATCTGACTGTTTTCGTGTTGTCTATTAGCTTCCGGAAGTCCATCCGTAGTTTTCGCATGTGATATCTCCTCCTTCTCGCGAGATTTGATTTCATTCTCTGTTTCCCGCTTCGCGTCTGGTGTCGTCTGCGTAGGTAAACCTTGACTCGTCTGCTTCTGAGCATCAACTTGCTGGTTTTGAAGCTTTGATAGTGGGTAACTTATTCCAAGTTTTTCCATTAAAGAAAGCTGCATTTCAATTTTACATATTCCACATTTACAGTTATCAATATCTGCCGTAGACAGACTGTGTAAGTCGGTTTTGGCGGGAGTTCGTAGGTAAAATTTTCGATCGTAAAGTTTGGATTGAAAATTAACTTTCATGTAGGAATTAATATTAGGATCCTCCAGTGTGTCGGGGGACCGGCGAGGACTCAACTCCTCCTGATCGGAGGCAAAGTATAACTTCCTCACTTTTGAAGATCGCGGGGAAGCACTTCGCGAAAAAGTTGAGCGGGGCGACGATCTCGTGTACTTGGCGAGGTCATCGATCGACAGTCGATCCTCGTCATCACGGGAGTAATAGTCGAGGATGTGTCCGACTTTCTGGTTGTAGTAAACCCGTTCATGCTGTAACGCGGGACTCTCGTCCTGCTCCGATTTTTCCCCTTTAATGGCGATATATTTTGGCTTCTTAAGGTAATCTTTTCGTATGCTTGCAAGAAAGCCGCCGTCGGTTGTTCGTGTTTTCAGTAAATTGGTTGGGTCGTTTCTAGACCTCTTGATAAAGAACACTTTTCCATTATCAATATACATGGTACCTTCCGCAGTTTCTCGAACATTAAACCGTCTCTGTGACGAATCTCTCAGAAATGACTTGCTGTCTACGAGCAGTGATGACGCGTCCTCTAGTTCCATGCTAGCCTCTCTTTGACGACCGATAGGGGTACGAATCCGTCCTCCTGTGGCTTTGTGCTCACTGCAGATATCGTGAACATTTGTTGCAGATAATTCCTCCCTAGAAGCCGAAGTTTCTAATTTTGTGATGGGGAAATGTGGAGCTGTGGACGCTCTCTCACGTGGAGAATAGGGTGAAATAGGAGGATTAGAGGAAAATTTCACTTTGGCAGAATTCACACGTTGTTGAGTTTTAAAGTGGTCTATGTAACCCGATTTCCTGTTCGGAAATTGAAATCGTCTACCACTTCCTTGAACGTTTTTGTTATTTCTCGGAGGCATTTCAGTAAAACTGGCGCTTCTCAGGGTGCTGGTAGTTCCCCCTCCCCTCGGGCCTCTCCTGGATCTGGGTGTTGGTCCTGGCGTTCTACACCGCTCTCCATCCGGGTTTTCTACTTCTTCTCTTCTAGAAGTCAGTTGATAACGAGGCGGCATCCGTTGCCATAGTGACCAGCAAGTTGTTGACATATCTACAAAAGAATGAATATCTTCTAAGGTAACGATGTAATGTAGGAGTCATGTGCATGGTTAGTTGAGAGAGAGAGAGAGAGAGAGAGAGAGAGAACATATCGCACACTCAGTGTTGAAAGTGATATTCGATATATCTTTCCAATAAAAAGAAACCAGTGTTAATCAAGTGTGGAATGAATATAAAACCCTCACTACCTTCACATAAAATATCCATAAAAGTTTTTCTTGGCTTCTAAATTTTCGATAAAACAACAGATATTTCATTGATTTACCGTAAAAAGGCAGACTTCAGGGTTACATAAAGCAAGTTCATTGTTTTGTGGGGATTATTTTATACACGGAATAACTACTTTAACACTTCTTCTTGAGTGCACAATGATTACGTGACACACAACGTATTTCTGTTTTCTTTTTATTCAGTGTTAATTTTGTGTTTATATGACGGTCTACTCAAAATGTAAATTATTAAAAATTTATAAAAATCGTAATACATATGTTGAGTAAAGAGACGAATATGTCGATAAAATATTTTTTTCAAAGGAGTTTCGAAATGTAATTAGAAATTGTAAGTAACTGACTTTGTCTATGTAACAGTGATCTCTCTAACTTTATTTTAAATAACAAGCGAAGGGATTTTTTATGTTTGCTAAATGCACACAGAAGTTAAGTTTTTTTTCTTTATCGCATTACTTTTGATTTTAATCATTTTCAATGCATGCATTTTTTGGCAAGTTCCAAAGGAATTGGCAAGTTCCACAAGAATCCATTCGCCAGTCATTCCCACCCATCCCAGAAAATTATTTACCTGTTAAGCAACAATAAATCAATATTTTTTTTCAAATGCAAAACCACTTCTTCAGTTGATTAAAATTAATTAAAAATGCCTTCCTGCATGTGAAACGTTTTTGACATCAAAATTATTTTCTTACCTTTTTCAAATACAACAAAATCCATTTTTATATGTTTATAATTTACACTCGATAAAACAAAATTATCCTCTCTCTTTTTGTAAAAGAATTCCAGTAAAAAAGGAACTTTTATGTAATTGTATACTCCATTAGGGTAACGCTATCTGTCTCTTCACGCCTGTGTATCCACACCATTGTTTATAGTTTCACATTCTCTATTGGTCTAACGTCTTTAAGTAATCAATAAGGATAAAGCGGATTATCGTAATACACGGGACTGTAATGAACACAACAAGTGCCCGCCCTTTGTTTCCATAAGTCCGCCATTTGTCGTCTATGTAAACATTTGGAGAATTTAACGATATGAATTGCATTAAGTTTCGGCAATTGGCGCATTATGAACTACCTATTGTAATGTTTTATAATACATTTACCTTCGTGATCTTTAAAAACTCTGGGACTTAATTTGTTCTCTAAATTTGTTTTCCCTCTCAATACTAGTATCCATTTTTTATTCTACAGGAGGACATAACGGTATCTTTTATTCCCCCCACCCCCACGGTACCCCCTCCGGTAAAGGAGTGTGGGCTGGGGAATTTTAATTAAATGTTTGGGTTTTCTCAGCAGATGAACTGCTTCATTGTGTATATGGGTATCATATTTATTCTCTAAGCGAATCAGAAAAATACTAGAGGTGAAATGCTCTTTCGTACAAGTACTTGTATAAAATACAGACTTGTTTACATATTAATATATGCTAACTTTCCATTTTAATATGATTCCTTGATATTAGTAAAAAACTTGCTCATTCCACAAGATTGTTTAGGTATTGGGTAAGTTTGGGTATTCAGCAATCTTTTATGACGAAAACATTAATTTTACGACTATTTCATATAAAAATCAAGATATCAATGAGAGCCAATGCGACCTGATACATAGATATATTTATTATAATTTTAAAAGAAAAGTTTTAAAATTCACATAAAAGAGATTTCATATGAAAACAAATTCCGATAATATGAAAACAATGTTTCAAAAATTTCAACAAATCAATGTCCATTTTATGAATGTTAGCGTATAGATAAATAATAACATATTTTTATTTACTCACAACTACTGGGGTAAATCAAGAACGGCGAATACTTTAGAAGGAAGTCATAATCACGGCGGTCAGTGGTCATCTCCATCTTATGGAGGAGAGAGAGGACGGCACGACTTGTGTATCTACCTCCTTAATGACAGTCTACCTCCTTAATGACAGTCGAGACATTGTAATTATCCCAGATTGATGAGCGTCATATGTCCCTGATTGATCTATATTAACCGAACTTCCAATACAAATTCGTGTTTACTCTAGTTAAATATCCTTTCAAAATTATTGACAAATGAGCTACATTTTTACCCCGAGAGACAAAATTATGTACACACGATAGCAAATACATTTACTTTCGCTTTTTTTTCTTGTTGGATAATATCGCAGATTTTTCTGTTTAGAATTGTTTCAAGTGTTATTGGAAACCCCAGAGAAATTTGACAATTTCTCGAGAGATTTACTCTAACACCTAAAATGTCACGTACTTTCAACATTAAATATTTTCTCTCGAGACATTAAACTAATTGTTTATCTTAAGTTTTCATTGACACCCTTTTCCTATGATAAAAAAAAATTAAAGCAATAAAGATGTAATAATTGTATATAACTGAGTAAATAAATGTACATATATAAAATTTTGACAGCACCTTCAATTCATATATCCTTTCCTACCTTTGATATATAGATGTTGTGGATATCTTTAATTTGTCGACATCATATTTCTTAAAGATCGTGCTTTTCTTCCAATCGCTAGGCTTTGGTCCGACTTTCCTCTGTCAGGTACTAATCAAACGCGCACTTATGTGAAATACTGACGACTTTCTACTCCAGTCCAAAGATTGTTACCGCTCACCCAGCAACATGACCTCAAAAAATTCACATTTTCATTTATTTTCTCCTAATCTCAAAGTTACAAACATTGAATGAAAGAAAGAACAAGCAACCAGAAAGCGATAACATATCGTCGTAGTTTTCAGATCCTGATGAAATGCATACAAATGTCGGCCTGTTGTCAGAGTGGTTTGAATTTCCGCGATAATGAAGTCATACAAATGTTTAGTGGGGTCATAATCCCCCAATACCACGACTAAATAAATTTAGATGTGTATATTTCTCTCATTCTCCACTGCAGGGGCTATCGCATTCAGCAAACAGTCGGGATTTGTTTTAAATTAATGAAACTTTTAAGTCGGGCCTCATGACGTAAAAATGTGTGTGTCTGTCAATATTATACTGGCATTGTACCACATTTTCAGAATGAAAATTAAGCTGATTTTTAAAGTCCGCGTACAATCTTCGGTGAATTTAGATTTAAAAAATTTCATGAGAGATTTAATAAGTCAGATTTCAATGAATTAAGCAAATTAAATTGTAATCTATTGTTTCTCATTATGATACCATGTGCATGTGAAACAAAAAATAAAGATTAATAAACAATCAAAGTATTGAAGAAAAATGAAAGAAATCACTATTGAAAAGTATGTACTCCCTTGGGAGACTACTACATGTATTTGGCATTTGAACTTAGCACCCCGGTAAAATGTGTCCTTATTCATCATTCCAGATTGTCAATAAATAGACTGAAATAGATTTAGTGCTATATAGTTCTAAATTTGAAATGGAAACGCATACAATTTAATAGGGATCGATTGACATTTATTTATTTCTTTATATGGAAAGCAGACATTTATTTCAAATTATGTCAACTTAGTATTTAATAATTGAATAGAAAATAAAAATTATGAGCAGAAAGATCTATGCATTAAATAACAATCCTCTGCATTTTTTGTGATATTCTGTTAGCTCGAAATAATAGTAAATTAAACGCACTAAAAATTAAACACATTTCCAGCACAGGCACCTGACGATGGCTCACCCCCCTTTTTTTTATTACTTCTGATAATTTATTAAAATTTTATCAGGAACAAAAAGTTTTCAAAAATGTACGAAAGCCCATTGATCTCATTTTCTTAGGTTAAAAAAAAAAAAACGCGAAATTTTCGCGAATAAACGCGTTACTTTCGCGTTCGTTTATTTGCGAAACTTTCGCGATATAACGCGAAACTTCCGCGAATAAACCCTAACTTTCGTGTTATAACACGAAACTTTCGCGGTATAACACGAAACTTTCGCGAATAAACGCGTAACTACCCGTTATAATGCGAAACGTCTCAACTTGTTTTTGACTTTGTGATAAAGTTTATTTATTACATGGTACAATGATGAGCAAAAAGGCTATTTAGATCTTGGATTACCACAAGTTACAATTGATTTGAGTTTTCTTGTTATTGAATCCATCTTTACCGTCACAGTTTGTCTTTCTAAACGCTGTTCAAACATGTACAATTCAAGGTTTATGCAAGTCTTCCTAAAGTTGAACTTCAAGATTCTGAACTTCGGAGAAAATCACCCCTTTCCGGCTTCTTTCTATGCACTCTTTAAGAATTCAAAATAATTTTATTTCATAAAGATCAAAATCTCAGAAAGTTAACAACATGAGGTAAATTTGTCAATATTGTGTCCCACCGCATTTGTGAAAATTGATAGCAGATTTGTCATTCCATTGCTTACGAAAACATTGACAATTAATTCAAAGTGAACAAACTCTGCACATACCTCAGTAAATTTTATTTATGGCTAGTCCACGAACTTCTCTATAACCCCTCGGATAAATAAATATTGGAAAAAATTTAGAGACTCCTCCTCCTCGATAAATTTGTAACTAACAATAACCAGTTATAATTGTAATTTAAACAGCATCATATGGCCCGTTAAGCTCATGAAATGATACATTGTTCACTCACTTTTAAGTTATGTTTCTACAGGGTATAATTTTTAGTCCAAAATGACTGATTGCTTAATTAACTAGTGGTACAGTTGTAGTAAATGTTACTGATTAAAAACAGCTTGAAAAAATTGTGGAGTTTTTCCTTAAAAAAAAATCAGTTTAAAGAATTTCTTGAATTTAACTATTTAAAAACATGTACATGTACAAGAAAGTAAAATTCATTTTATTAATTGGTGAGGGTTGAAAATATTCTGATGACTAATCTATGCTTTTCTCGCATCATTTCTCCAGTACAACTGAGGAAATGATATTTTATATATAAATTCCTGAGAGTTCCCGTCTGAGTTCATATTCTTATGTGTCAGTCAAGATCAAGGTTCCTGAGTAACATTAATATATATCCTATATGCATATTATTTCACGAAATAACGCGGAAGTTTCGCGTTCTAACGCGAAAAAAATATTTTTTTTAACCTTCGAAAATGCATGAGCTCAAAGGGCTTTCGTAAAAATACATGATTTCCTAGTCTACCATTCTTATATTTTATACCGTAATGGACCATCTCGAAAAATAAGAATGATATGATAGACTAGAAAATCATGTATTTTTGATAAGTTCTTGAGCCTGATAAAAATTCTCAGAAGCTATAAGGGGGGTACGGAGGTAGGATCCATTTGTCTGGTGCCTGTGATTTTCAGGCCAAATAAACGGCCTAGGGCAATGCTCGACTGTTTAAGCAGACTTTAATTAATATCCTGCAATGAACTAGGACTTTATCATATTTTCAGAGAACCTTGCTTTAAATTGGTTTACTTAAGATGTCAAAAGATCGATTTTTGAAAAATAAAACGTGTACATGTAAAAGGCAGAGGTACATCAAAATCTGTGTCGTTGTTTCCTTTATGTTTACATTTTTTGAAATTCAATCTTAATTCCAAGATATTTATAAGTATTCTAATCTATAATATAATCCCATGGTTTTAATTGTTTATGAATGCACTGTGTTATAATTATACATATAAATTATTTATTTTGAATAGAAGATCAAATTATGTACGTGTCCAGTCAATGCTTCTGCTGCTCAGTTTTGACAGTAACTTCTGATAGGTTCTAAAAGTCAGTTTAACTTGAATCAATCAATTTCAAAAGGATATCTAACTTATTTTTACAAATAAGAACGTGTAATAACTCCTATTTGGGTTCGCCTTTTTTGGAGACCAACAAAAAGAAACTAGGTTCCACCTTACCATATATATATATGATACATGGCAGAATTATGTTCTACGGGAAGCAACTCTGACACCTTTGCCATTTTCGATGAATCGGAATATAATTAGCATTTCAGTTTTGTGAAAACTACATGTAGCTGCCCTTAAATCATTTCCCAACTTAATCTTAAATACTTTTTCACTATATTTTAAAACACATTTTGTTGCAAAAAACACAGAGCACAAGGTTTTCTATAAGTCATTGTGCTTGGCCTTAGAGGCGCTATACGTTTTCAACCTTTCTTTTCATAAATTAAAAAATCTCCATACTGTAATATTGTTTGTACAGTTTAGGGAAGTTTTTATTTATGAAAAGAAAGGTTAAAAACGTCAAGCGTCTGTGATTGCGTCCTATACAAACAGACAGCTAGACCATAGAGAGAAATTACAGTCTCATCTGCTTCTTTGGTATGGCAAGCAGAATTAAAACTTAAACACAAAACTTACGTTGAATTCGAATTAAACTCTCCCTGTGAACAGAGCATATGCATAAAATAAAACTAGAGGTACTGTAAGCAATGGGATCACTAAATGATACCCCTCCGATGTGAATATAATGGCAGCGTTCAAGTTTTGCTGTCGGAAACCCAAAATATGTATCGGGTCAAAAAGTAAAATAGGAGGTCACATTGGCAATATGTAGTAAAGATTCTTTGAAAGTTTCATCATACCCCGGTATTTCATTTGGTGAAATGAGAGGAGTTGCGGATATGAGATTGGTTCCCCAAGGCGCAACAGACGGACGGACGGACAGCTAGACGTAAAGACGGACGGACATACCGATTACTATATACACTCCCGCTTTTCAAACGGGGGGTTATTTTGACAGTTTCCGTGTTTTGCCGTGGGAACCCTAAGTATGAGTCGAATGAAAAAGTTAAAATAGTAGGTCACAATGGCACCATGTAACGATGAAATCAGTGAAGTTTTATCAAATTCCTCTCAGTGCTATAAGAGGAGTTGTGGATAAGAGAAGGGTACCCCGAAGCGTAACAGACGGACGGACTGACATCCCAATCACTGCATACATGTGACCTCCCACTGTTCATACGGCGTATAATAAGAACGTTATCTTTCCAGGTTTTAATGTAAACATCACACTATTTTATTGATATTGTTACAGTCATGTTCCTAGGACATTTACAGGATGCAGATCCATTGTCAATTTGTGATCATATTATGCAGTTTGTCGCCATTAGTACAATGTTCGTATCTTTTATTCTCTCACGTACGCGTCTAAAAAAAACAGTGAGACCCATGTACCGCATCGCTAACCTGAATACTTTGGCTAAATCAGAAATAAATTCAGGATTGAAAATTTTAAATATATAGTGTGCCCCCACCATACGATTTGAACATACTTGAATAAACACTTTATATACTAGTATTTATAACCAAATATAGTTTTTTTTCTCTTGAGAAGGTTTTTAAATATATTTATACCCCCCCCCCGCTTGAAAAGCGGAAGGGTATTTAGTAATCGTTATGTCCGCCCGACTGTTTGTACGTCCGTCTGTTACGTTTTGGGGGTACCCATTTCTTATCCGCAACTCCTTTCATACCACCAAATGAAATTTGATGAGATTTTCACAAACTCTTTATTACATATTGCCATTGTGCACCTACTAGTTTACTTTTTGATCGCACACATAATTTGGGTTTCCCATAGCAAAGCATGGACACTGCCATTATATTCATATGGGAGGCGAGGGGTATCATTTAGTGAGCTCATTGCTCACAGTACCTCTAGTCACTATTTAATTTTTAAAAATCTTGAATCCCAATTTTCCGCATCCTATTCTCGCGAGGTCATGATCTGAACAAGCGTGACTACATGTACCTGCATGAGGATGATTCCACATAAGTTTTGTACATGTATTTTCTAGTAAAGTTGTTCTTGAAAAGAAGATTTTTAAATGATGCCATTGATTTTTCACGAATTCGTTAATAATCTCCCCTTGGAAGAAGACAAGACCCTAAATTTGAGCGGGAGGTCAACATTACCGCTACATTGCCAAAAATTTCAACTCATTACCGCTACATTTTTTTCAAATTTCGACCGATCATTACCGCTACATTTTTTTGACAAAACAATTCATTACCGCTACATATTGAATCAGCCCAAAACAACTCATTACCTCTACATATCGATTTAGCCAGGTATGGTTCGGTATATGAGTTCTAATCAACAGAATTCACTCACTATCTAATCAGAATGAGTATATGTACTTGAGTAACTCTGCAGTCAAAATTTAATTATTTAGCGTAATCTGAACATTATGGCCACAATTGAGAAGTTTGTTGCAAATCGAGGGAATGCCAGATTACTTATCGACGGGTATAAATTTAGAAAATAACAATTAATATGTCAAGCAAATGGCTTTCAAGGCTTTAGTGATAGTGTATAAAAAACATTTGACAAATCTTAGAATTTTATCTATGAACAGTGCTTGATTTAAATTTTTTTGTGTTTTATGAAATAAAATTGAATTTAATAAAAAAAAACATTCTGATCAAAGTCCTACTTTTACCTCCCCGTGGAGAGCAGGGGAAACGGGTCTTAGGCATTTATAGGTTGTACTGTACACGCATATGTGGCTGGCTAACGAAAGAGGCAATGTAGCGGTAATGTATACTTTTTTATGTAGCGGTAATGTAAGGTTTTTTGTAGCGGTAATGCCTAAGTAGCGGTAATGAAAATTTTGAAAATGTAGCGGTAATGATACGCACCCATTTGAGCAGACTAGAATCTTATTACACAAACATTCTTTGTGGCTAGCTTGTCTAAATTTGCTAATTGTTTCTACAAAAGAAAAGAAAGCGTGAGAAAATTATAACAAAATCAACGACTACGATAGACAACGGAAAAAACTCATGGCTCAGGTGAGCTAAAAAGCAATAACACTTTAATTTTCCTGAATGAGGATGATACATGCACATGTCAAAATAATTCACGGCAAAGTGGCTAATCTTACATGTACACAATTTAATTTAATAGATCTATGCACTTGATAAAAATAATAACTTAACATTTATAAATACCAACACAAATTGTACAATAATAAATATATATGCCAGTCATAAAATATAACAGAAACATACATAACATTTAATGCTACATCAACAGTTTTATATAATATTAGGTCCGATAATCAACACTAATCCTTCCATGTGTTAATGAGCTTAAACTAATTATAATTGATTTAAAATTCAAGTACAATAATTGCATACTTTCCGATAGGATTGAAATTTCGCCAGAATACAGATCAATTCGATTTCATAATTTATTTATAAAAGAGTGTCCTTGCATGACATCAAACATGAAACAAACCTCTCCCAGCTTTTTCCCTTCTCTCTTCGAAACATTAGAGAGAAAGTAAAAAAAAACGAGATTTCTGGTTTCCGAGTGCCCGTTACCATTCTCACTTCTCGATTTAACGAAAATTCGAAAAATGATCGAGAAGAGAGAATTGGAGCGATTGTAAGATCATATAACGATGTACGTAATCATGTGACATGTGTACTCGATCATGTGACAATGTAGCTGCAGAACTGTAGCTCTCTGCTTGCGAAAATTCGGACAGATAAAGCAGAGAGCTACAGATCCAAGCGTTGTAAAAACCTTCGATTTACGCCGACGATTTTTTGTCGAGTAACTTTAGGTATTTATTTTGTGTAGTTTAAGCTTTTTCTGGCTTTTAGAAAGGTATCCTATGCCAATTCATATATTTAATTCTTATATTTGATACTTTGTTTACCTTTTATGGGTCCGAAACAGTCCTGTATATAATTTTGTAATATCGGTTTAAAAGAGTTCCATTTCGACGTCCGTAACCACAAACAGCCATTTGTTAGCGTTGGGAGGTATGTAAATGATCAAGAACTGAAGTTGAATGTATACGATTAATTATCAAATACCATTCAAAATTATTCTCAAAGCTGGGGAAAGTATAAAATACACGAAAAAATACCCACAGTGAGCGACAAAAAATCGTCGGAAATCGAAGGTTTTTACAACGTTTGGATCTGTAGCTCTCTGCTTTATCTGTCCGAATTTTCTCAAGCAAAGAGCTATAGTTCTGCAGCTAGTGACAATGCAAACGTGACCTGTGTACTTGTTACAAGAGTGAATCACGTTCTTCGAAACGAAAATTAAGAACGAAAGCTCCCATTCAGTAACAGTCACGCATATAATCCACTTCATCATATTTTCCATTCTAAATAATAAAAGTAAACTATTTCTACCTCTAACCGAAAAAGTGAATTCCGTGTCATTATACGTTGCGGATATGCGTATTAAGAATACTTCAAAATTTCACTTGTACTGCCTTTCAGAAAGCGTATTCAAGTAAATTCCAGTTTGTCATTTACAAAAAGATAACAAATCGAGTTAGACAGAGTGATTTTAAAAATATTTCAATGGAAAGGAGGAGTTTATTGCTTCATGCCCATTCTCTGAACGAAACAAACACAAGGAGTGGACAAAAAACAGCTTAAAAAGTTGCTTTGCAAAACCAAAGGTACATATCGAACATGAAGCTAGCAGGATATGAGAAAGTATACTGTCTTGTAGTAATAACTAAATAAACGATTATAGTGAAGATGCATTCAGTGCATAAAACAAAAACAGCAGGATTTCAAAATAAAAACGAAACATAACGTTAATTATAAAACTGAGACACTTAAAAGCACCCGGGTTGCAAATATAATACTGAAGTTCAACTATCAGCCACATTTAGGGCTAAGAATTTGTAAAGTGCACGCGTTCAAATGATCTGACGTGCACAGTGTTCACTTCTCTGTCACACGTGATATGGTTTACTGACGTGCACCGTGTTCGATTGGGAAGCTCGAGAAACCCTCTTTTGACTGAATCTCTTTGACACTAGTCAGCCATCTTATGATGTCATAAGTCTTGAAATCGTCACAGAAGTTTTTATTGTTATTTACGTCACGGGGAGACGATGTGGGAGGTCCCTGGTCTTTACTGTAACGAGTGAACATAAACGGCTTCACGCTTGAACGCGTAATTTTAGCACCACCAGTACTGTTCGTCGTTGTTTTTATGGAAGACTTTTGAGCAGACGACACTCGCCTGATTTCTCTTGGATTCGAATTTGATTTTTCCTTTCGATTTGATTCTAAAGGCAGACGATAATTCGGTTTGTCTGTCTTCATATTGTTGTCGTTTTCACCTTCACTTTTTTTCTCATGAAAATAGTTATTGAGTTTGGTTGTCCTAACAAACTTTCCAGTCTTTGTAAACACGGGGATACCATTTTCAATCAGCCTGTTGTTATGGTCCGCCATATCTCCCCCATTCCTTGACTCACGGTCCCCTTGATAAGAAGATTCACGCGGGTTGTAGGTTGGAATCACCCCGTCCTCACAAACATCCATCCGCACGAAATCATCAGCATCAGTCTCGATCAGCGGATAGGAGTCGCCGGAAGTACGGCGATGTAAACTTCCGCTGTTTGTTGATGTTGACTTAGATAGCGACCTTGGAGATACTGTTCTATTTTCACGTGAATCTTTTAAGTCGTAAATGTCCGAAATTTTCATCGACGTTTTTTCTTGATCACGTGATACATCTGTAGTTTGGGAAGACTTGACCGGAATTCGCTGAATCTGATGTTGTCGCCGGATGTGGGACACATCCACGGGATGACTGCGCGAGTCTAGATCCACAGCTTTATACTTAATACCTAGTTCTGTCAGTTTGTTGAGTTTATCATCAAATTTCACTTTCTTCTGACTCTTAGAACTATATGAGCTATTAGATTGTTTCTCATTCGCTGACGTTTTCCTTTTCTTTAACACACACTGAATCTTAGACACGTCAAGTTTTTGAGACGGTGCCTCACGTCCATCTAACTGATTTCCTGAAGAATTCTTCAGAATTCCTTTCCGCTGCTTTTCCGACTTCGTATCGTCTGGACTTTTATACTTCATCACACCGTGATAGGAAACATGCTTTGTCTTGACGCCACCTGGTGGCGGGCGGAGACGGTGCACTATCAAGTCTTTCGTGCCCGACCCTAAAAGAGTGACGGAGCCGTCCAGAGGATAAATAAAGACGCTCTCCCCACTCCCAACAGTGGAGAGATTGTAGAATGGATTCTTCATCATACTGACCTAAAATACAAATAAAATTATAAAAAGATTTAAATCAACTTAACATACACATGCTATTTCATACATTTCTATTATTAATTATTCATTTACTTCATGTTATAACAATTTTTTTAAGGAAAAAAATACAACTTACCATGCTTTGAAATGTAATATTTGATATCATACAAGAAGAAAACCAAAATTTCTAAATGAAGTTCGACAGTTAAAGTATAAACAAGTTTATTCACCTAAACGATAGCAAAGCATAAAAAATTATACTTCCTTACTATATAGATATTTTTTGCCTTCATCAAAAAAAAAAAAGGAAACATTTAGTGACAATTTCTTTACACTATAAATATAAAAATCATTCTAAACGATTGACACACAGAGTCATTCTAAGGGTTTCTTCTTTCTATTAACTCTTTGAGTTTTTGCTTCACAAAAGAAAGAAGCAGAAATCATAAGATCAATTTTGCTGTACTAATTATTTGCTATACCTAGGGAAAGCAATTGAATACTTCCAGAGTAAATACGGACATCGATGTGAAAGGTGGTGTAAATACAGAGAAGAAGTTTAAATCTGACTTATCTCCGCCAAATAGTATCATTCATTTTGGCAAAGTAACGGAACAATCTCGCGGAGAAGGGGCCCATTTTACGCGAATCCCGGTAACACATTATCTTTCTTAAGAACTGTGCTATTCAAATATATTTATGAGCGTCTATTCTCTAAAGACATTGGAAATTGGATCGCAGTTAATGTTATATTTAACGGGAGAAACCTCAGACACCCACAAAAGGAAGGCTTAACCCATTTAAAAACTGCACTTTAGATCTCCCTGTGTATTGCCAACTTCAATACTAGGTTGTATTAAGCCATCATAGCGTTAAATTACGTATTTGGAAGATAATCTTCAAAATAAGGAACAACTCGGTTAACCAAAATCTTGTCACCATCATATTAAGTTTCTGAATTCAACTAACAATTAATTGCAAGGGTAGTATGATAATTTAAAATGTATCCCAAATCTTGGAGAACATAAAGTTAATTCAATCCTGTCGCAGAAGTGCTTAAAAAATTATATCTATTGATGTAAATTGAAAATATGCACGAGACAAGTAAACAGCTCATTTTTGTTATTGAACATCCTTCAATGTCACCAACTTTTGAAATCTGGTTTCGACCAGATTGAGGGATAAACCATTTATTTAAGAGTTTACTTGAGTTCTTAGACATAATTAAGGACCTACTTGCATTACCTTTAATCTTACAACCCATTTTAATATCAAACTGTACTGATTGACTAATTATAAAGATTTTAAGTTAATATGTACGTACCAATTTAAATGAAAGGTAAGTTTGTTTGAAGAAAAATACCCAAAATTTTGCATTAAAATTTTAAACATAAATGTATATTTTATTTCAGATTAACATATTCATACAAATATAACAATATGTATTACTGTAAAGAATTTCAATTAGTAATCTTATCTTAAAAATAAGTATAAATGGTATTTATATTGCTTATTTGATTATATTATTCAGAAAATAAATTTACTTACCTAGTAATCTTGTACAGGTGAAAGTGTCCGCATGTTTTCTCCTTGGCGAAAAACTTGTCTCAGAATTGAGCACGTCTTGTCGAAGAGTAAATATTTCTGACAGATTTCAGATTTGACAACACCCGAGAAAAATCGATACACCTGCCAGGACCTTGATTCACCTTTCATGTCAGGCCCAATTTTCCATGCTCAGTGTACCTTTGTACCTATATGGTATATATCTACCTTGGCAGGTATTTTCTAATTCACTTGCATTCCCAACACTCGGTCCCAAACGAGGACCTCTGACGTAGTAGCAAAAGATAACAATGAGCCGTGCTCGATAATTTAAATTTACTTTCCAATTTCTTCAATTGAAATGGAACACAGAGCTATACAAGTCACACGTTTTAGTATTTATCATTTTGCGTCCTGCTCATTAAAGAACTTTAATTCAAGCCCGAGGTTCTGTCGTGAAAAAAAGAAAAACGAATTTTTAACCTTTTATCTTTTTAAAGTCGATAATTTGCGACAATACCTACTGATTAATGTTGTTTTGTGGTTCGATATCTAGTATATTATAAACACCATTTTTGGGTTTAAATGCAATTTAAATCTTTATTGTAAGAGGCTTATACTCAGGAGAAAAAGTCTCCGATTTCTATTGATCTCCACTATGCAGATGTTTATAAATATCGGTTAATTATCTACAATTATAAATTTTCAGTAAGCCGTGAAAATGATTTAATTTAATAAGTGTTGAATTAAAATGATTATACATGCTTACGGGTAGACTGAACAAGTTCATTTGATTAAAGGTGTATATCTTTACACTTGGTCTAGTACCCCGCCTACAGCATTCCAGGATTTGGGATTTCCTCAACTTCAAAGAAGAAAATCTAAGAATAAGAGGGGCATGACAGAGCGAAGCATCCCGAGAAAAGAGCTTACAACTGTAGCTACAACTCAAGACACTATTCGACATTGATTCGGATGCAGATTATATTGCTTCCGTTTCGCATAAGAACAATATAGCACTCACAAACGCGTTACTATATCCAATTCCGTTGAGCTTGGATAATGTTTAAAGTTATCTTAAGCAAAGCGCCAAGAATAATAAATTTGTAGATTGCTTACATAAATACACGATAAACAAGACACATGAAACTTGTGTGAAAACTTCATGTGATTTTGACATAAATTTCATATGAATTTTACATGAAGAGCATATCGCATTAATATCATGCAAAGAAAACTTCACATGAAAGTTAAAAAAAAAGATTTGTGTGAATATCATATAAACTTTTATTCACATGATATTCACATGAAATATATTTATATAATTTTCATATGATTTTCACATAATTTTCAAATAAAAAGATAATCACATGAATATCATGTAAGCCACTTTTCCCTCTGCATAGAATTATTTAGAAAGTAAAATTTTAGATCATTCAATTCAAATGTATTTACTAGTAATTGGTGAATGTTGATTTCCTTTACAAAGATTTCCACACCCTTACCTTTTTTAACAACCCAGTGTTTTTAAGCCAATTAGGTCGATCTATGGCTAAGGAATTTAGGTTTTATCTAAAGTAACTTTAAAATTTATAACTTTAATTATAGATACTTTTCAGCTTAATGCAGAATGTAATAAGTCTGAATATGCATTTATATAAATATATACATATTATTTTGAGCTAGATTACGTAACCTATGTGTGAATTTGCAAAGTCTTGTAATATTTTCCTTTGTGTTGTTTTGTTACGATAAGGCCGGTGTCTGTAAACAAAGATAGAGAAAGAAAACGCTTCTATAGGAGGAAGAAAAAATATAAAACCAAAAATTAAAAATTTACCTGGGTAATTGTTGATATCTTTATTTTTAAGACGTCTGCAAAATTGTAGATGAAACAAAAATAAGCAAAGGAAAATGTAAAAATAGAAAATCTCACCTCCCTAACTTTTATCTAAAAATTTTGAATGTTAAACCTTGTTTATCAAAATACAATCATTTACTTCTATCGTATTTAACAATTAAATGATCAAAAACTTAAAATGTGGTATAGAAAGAAACATTTTAAAAACGAAGCATTAAAAACTCTCTCCAAGGACCTCAACATTTCACTTATTAATCACATTTTTCGTTTAGTAACAGTCCCACACTCTAAAAAAAGTTTTACTTGTTGTTTTTAAAATAAGATATTAGATTAAGAAAAACTAGTAATTATTAGTAATCCATTTAGTCAGAATAGCAAGTAAATGACTATCATGGTTAGTAATTGTAAACATAACTAGTAATAAGGATGAATTCATTTACTTATAAAATGATTTACTAATACTTAATAGGAATTATATTACTTAGTAAATGAACCACTTATTTTAAGTAAATTATTATTACTTAATTTACAGATAATATGCTTTCTATTTACTAGATTTTATGAATTATTACTAAGTAAATGTAATTCTGAAATTAATTGAAATCTAGAATGTTATTACTTAAGAGACTACTAAGTAAATGAAATACTTATCATATTTACTTAAATCGACATTATTTACTTGAAAAACTGCCATGTAACGGCCATCTGATAGAGGAGATACGTGTAACTATGAAAGTATAAAATGTAAGACGTATCACAGTTTCCTTGATCACAATTTCCTAATTGAGCTTTCTGAGTAGTCAATTAGATGAACCTACATGGGATGGTAACAATACTTTCTATTTCTTTTGCCAATTTCTTTGTAATTATTTTATTATATTTAACAATAAAACATTTAATTCCAACATCAAAAGCCTTGTAAATTGAATAAGCCTTATATTTTTAAAAAACATTTTAAAAATGGTTTAAAGTTTCAAGTACATAATACAGCATTTTAATTAGCATGACTTTTTTTTTACATGAAAGAATATTTAGAAGAAAGATAACTCCTCCTCAAAGACAATTAATATAGAAGCCAAAACTATACATTTCAAGAATTCAATCCTGATAGTGATTAGACTACCAATTTTAAGTAATTATTTGTATTGCAACTGCTCTGAATACTACTTGATTCAGTAAATAAATTATTGTTTTAAGTAAATCAAATAAATACAATTTAAACAAGATGTGTTTGTGAAACACTGATGCCCTCCGTATGGCAACATAGCAAAGGTTAAACTTTTCTTATATGCAAATTCAATATATTGGTATTTCTTGATTTCTCAAAGGTCAAGGTCAAATGGTCAATGTTATTGGTATGAAAGGTCCTGCCACAAAAAAATACATATCTGAAATATACAAGCAAATTCAAAGAATTGTGGTCCCCCGCTTTCGGTGTCTTTTTTGGGTGAGATGTCCTTTTTTATGACATATGAACGCCCTATCATAAGTCATCTATTTACAAATTATCACTGAACTCCAAGGTCAAGGTCAAAGGGTTAATGTTCTTGGTATCCAATGAAAAGTCTTTTTAAAAGGATTACATATATGTGAAGTATGAAAGCCCTAGCCCTTACCATTCAAAAGTCATGATCAAGGTTAAAGTTTTCTCATAAGTACAAAAAATCTCCAAGGTCAAGGTCAAAAGGTCAAGGTTGTTTGTATCAAATGAAAGGTCTTGCCACAAAGAATACGTATGTGAAATATGAAAGTCCTGGTATCTACTGTTCAAAAGTTGTGGCCAAGGTCAAAGTTTTTGAAAAGTAGGTCAAACTCCAAGGTCAAGGTCCAAGAGGCAAAGTTCTTGGTATTCAATGAAAGGTGTTCTCAGAAGAATTATATATATGAAGTATGAAAGCCCTAGACCTTGACATTCAAAAGTTATGGTCAAAGTTAAAGTTTTTTCATAAGTACGGAAATCTCCAAGGTCAAGGTCAGAAGGTCAAAGTTGTTGGTATCCAATAAAAGGTCTTGCTACAAAAAATATATATGTGAAATATTAAAGTCCTAGTACCTACCATTCAAAAGTTATGGCCTAAGTAAAAATATGGAATTTTTGTGTAAAAGTGGGTCAAACTCCAAGGTCAAAAGGTCACATTTGGTGGTACCCAAAGAAAGGTCTTGTCACAAGGAATACACATATGAAATATGAAAGTCATAGCTTCACTTATTCAAAAGTTATGGGCAAGGTTAAAGTTTTTGTGACGGACGGACAGACTGACGGACAGACGGACAGACAGACAGACGGACGGGCAGACGAATGAGATTTAATGTCCCCTCGCTTTCGCGAAAGCGGGGGACAAAAAGCACTAGCCCCAACCCTTCAGAAGTTATGGTCAATGTAACCAATTTTGAAATGTAGATCAAATTCCAAGGTCAAGGACAAAGGGTCAGATTTGGTGGTACCCAAAGAAAAGTCTTGTCACAAGGATGAGATATGTTAAGTATGAATGCACTAACCCTACCCCTTTTAAAGTTAAAGTCAAGGTATGCTTTTTAAAAGTGGGTCAAACACTAAGGATAATGTCAAAGGGACAAGGTATTGGTATCCAATGAATGGTCTTCTCACAGGAATTACATATATGTAAGTATGAAAGCCCTATCCCTTATCATTCAAAAGTAATGGCCAAGGTTAAAGTTTTTTCACAAGGATTGAAATCTCCAAGGTCAAGGTCAAATGGTCATGATTGTTGGTATCCAATGAAAGGTCTTTCAACAAATAATATATACGTGAAGCATTAATGTCCTGATATTTACTGTTAGAAAGATATGGCTAAAGAAAAAGTTTAGAATTTGTAAAAGTGGGTCAAACTCCAAGGTCAAGGTGAAAAGGTCAAATTTGGCGATACTCAAATAAAGGTCTTGTCAAAAGGAATGGACATGTGAAATATGCAAGTCATAGCTCCGCTAAATCAAAAATTATGGGCAAGGTTAAAGTTTTTGCGGACAAACAGACAGCTAGACAGACAGACAGAGAGACAGACAGACGGACACGACAAAAACTATATACCCCCGAAACTTCGTTTACGGGGACAAAAAATATTAGTTATATTATATATATACAGTTAATAGTGGTAAAATGTAAGTAAAGACCAAGTAATGTTATTACTTATATACACAAATTTAAGTAAATATAAATTACTAAGTAAAACTTTTTAGTGTGTAAGCAAAACAATTCTTTAAAATACAAAAATCAAGTAAAACATTTGAATTTAGTAATTGACATATATTTCAGTAATTGATTTAAAAGTTTAAGTAAATGCTTAGTAATTATCTATTACTTATCTTTGTTATTTCAAGTAAAAAATGAATACTAAGTAAAACTTTTTTAAGAGTGCATTTAGTAGTACTGAGAAAGGCTGAATCTACAATTAATATCAGTCTTTTCTCTAATATTGGACTGCTACAGGTAAATCTTAAAACTGCTGAAACAA